ATAATGATAGTAGAAGATCTTCTTTCACAAAGAGTTGCACTGATTTCTTGGCAGGCAGTATTATGGGGTGTCTGCTCCAAATTATTTTAGGAGAACATGTGTCTTATTATTTTTGATACCTTCCTTTCATCATCTGGCCTTACAGCTTGATCTTTCAGAGCTTTTAGAAGGAGGAGACTTTCATAAAGAAAATCTTCAAGGTTGCTGGGGACACAGGAGTCTTAGGCTGGTATTTAGAGATGAATGCTGCATTGCTGCTAATACATTGATGTGTGTAGCATTGGATGGTCTATATAAAAGTAATCGTACCTGAGTCTCAGATGTCAGTTGGGTGTGATACTATTAGTCCACTAGAAATTTTTTTTTATTGCTTTTGAATTATGTTTTTTCCCTAAAGTCAAGGCTAAGAAACATTTGAGAGGGGATCTGTTTGTCAGAATCAGAGCAGGGAACCATGAAGTCTTTCTATTGTTCCTCTTGTCAGTTTTGCATTGAATTGCTTGTCTGTTCTTGAACAAGTAATTTATAAACTTGTTTATAAATTGTTTATAAACTTCTCTATACATTTGTTTTCCTTGTCTAGCTATGCATTTGAAGTCCTAAATACTCTCCTTTTTAGGGGTGCTTATTATAGCATAGGAAATGTTAGAAATCCTGATCTGGTAAACTCATTTTTGGAGAAGGATATACTTTTACTGAAAAATTGTTGGACAGCTTGGACAACCTCTTAGGGTACAGGGTCTTCATGTTGTATTTCAAAAGGGTCTAGCATGCTTTTTGATACAAAGAATTAGTGACACAGGGGCTATGACAATCATTTACATTGTTTTGATTATATTCAATGGAGAAAATGTAAATGCTGTCTAGTAGGTGTATTATGTGATTCAAAAGGTAGTTCCAGGTTGACTTCTTTATCTGTAGTGTCAGGCTCCTGCCTGTCTGGCAAATACTGCTTAATGGACTACACTGGCCGGGGAGGGAATTTTGCAGGGGAACGTTAGCTTTGTTTATATTTATTAGTACTTCTCAATGTACCAAAGATATGCTATATCAGAAAAACTTAACAGTTACACTTGGATTTCAGGCCTGGGAACAGTCTGCTGGAGTAATCGTATTCCCCAACATTCAGTTGTTAGCCAGTGAGGTTTCCAAGCTTCTGACAAAAGAAATTAAGAGGAACCTCAATGGCAAACCTGCAGGTAATGATCCCATACCCCATCCACTGGATCAACTTATTCTGGGAATGTACTGTCATTCGACTGTCCTCTGTGCTTACCATGAGGTAAATAAAAGGTGAAAAGGAAAAGGCAAAGTGTCGTAAGCCAGGTCTTTTAATAGGTATGAGCTAGCACTGGTTTTGGGTGATTGCACTGAAGATCTGGCCTTGTATGCTGTGCTGACCTTGGTTTTGGAACTTTTGTAGCTGGAAATGTATAATACTGCAGCTATGCAGTAAAAGAATAAGCTACATGCTATTCTGAGGAGCTCTCGTTAATGAGAAAAATACTGCTAGCCACACATGGATTTCCTGGTGGCTGTTGTACATTCTTCACACTGGTCAGCTGGCAGACTTCATGAACTGATCTCGTATTTCCAGTGAAGCCTGTCAGTTTGAAACATGTAGTTTGCATGAACTGACGTGAGCCTGATGATCGATCAAAACCCTTTTATGTCCTTCTATTCACTTCAGTGGACTCCTGACAAATTTAACAAAATTACAGTAGTAGAACTGTTAAGAAAGGATCTATACAGCATTTTTATCTTTCATAAAAGAATTAAACTTTAATGTTTTTATGGCAACAGAGGAGGCTCGACTGGCTTTGGAGCAATTGCTACAACAGAAAGGGGAAGCAGAAGATGGCCGTTTGCTCCTGAAATCGGTGTATCTGCTCTCACAGACTGACTTGGTAAGAGAAATGACTACAAAGGGGTTTTTTTGTTTTATTTTGTTCTGGTTTTTTTACTTTTTATTTCAAAGAATCTGGATAAGCCACCCCAACAGTGGAACACCTAAGTCTCATAATATTTGTGTTATTCCCAATGCTCTGTGCTTCAGCCTGCCCAGGGTATAAAGTCAGGGGACACACCACCAGGTTTATAGTCCAGGCTTTTCTTAAAGAGGGAAGTAAGTGCTCTGTGCTTTCAGATACTCTTTTTGTTTTGATCATCAGGCAGCTGTTTTTCTAGTGTTCCTCTGATTTATCCGCCTCCTCCCCACCCCCACCCCCCTTGTGTATCACTGTTCTTCAACCTTTCTTTGTCACTCCAGCTTACATATCAAAAAGATGACTAGTAAGGATCTGTCTGTCTGGTAATGCAGTGGTCAGATTTTCCATCCTGACAGCCTCTCACTTTGAAGCATTTCAAACAAAGCACTTCACAAACTCTACTTGTACAGCCATCCTGAATGCAGACTGGCATCAGTATTACAGCATGCTGATGGGCATCAGGGATGTGTTTATCCCTGACATTGAGCTGAGCAGTTTCTCATCCTTATTCAGATACATGAAGATAAAAATCTTACAATCAACTTCTAGTGGACATTTTCTGTGTTATAAGGAGCTCTATAAAATTATATATAGCTAGACACAGCATGAGGTTCCTGGTGAGGTTTGTATTTTTCACAGATTTAAGACATTGCTATTTTTTGTGGCGCGCACACTCACAAAACTTCCTATCACAGACCTCACTCTTCTGTTTAATTTGCTGCTGATTTTTGTTTTGATTATTGTGTGCCAAGCAAGCACACTGGGACTTCTCTGTAAGTTGTACGTAAGTGTAGTAAAGATGGGAAGAAACTAAATGTTGAGAAACATTGTGGAGAAACAGTCTCTAGTATTCATACAAGCTACAATTAGAAGTGTGTGTAATTATTCAATATGTTACAAAAGCAAAGGTATTATAGCTAAATTGCTGCTGTGCTGGGTCAAGGAGGGAGTGGAGAATTCATGCTTTTAACATACCAGGCCTCTATAACTGCAGGGTGTCCTGTGAACTAGTTGTAAATGCAGCACTGTTTGCCCCTGGAATTACTGCTATTTTAGCTGCTAGTTAGTTTGCAGGTTGTGTTCTTTATCGACTGGAGGTCTCCTTATGCAGGACATAGTAAGTATCTCTGTCAAAGCTGTAGTTCAGCTGAAGTGAGAAATCCTGGGAACAGCTATGACCACACATGGTCAGCGTATTTACTTCTGCCAAGTGGATTTGTACAGCCATGCTATATGATTGCCACGCTTCTGTGCCCTAGAGCATTTTTTAAGGATAAAATGCTCAAGTACCTTTTTCATCTGCCATGACTACGCTCAGTGTGTAGAAACAAAGGAAACTGTGGGCAGCTTCTGGAGAGTCTGATTTTTATTTTCTTTATTTAGAGAACTATGTGGAACATCATTGGGTCTGGCCTTCCAGCTGCTCTGATGCAGTGCCTGTACCTTTTCTTTACTTTTCCTCTGAAGAAAACCAGTGATGATGGGGAGACAAGTGAGGATGACACTCAAACTCAGGAAATGCTTGTTAAGGTGAGATGTGCCTCTGGGATTTCATTTGACCTGAGTATTCAGATGGTCACTTAGGCTTTTAGCTGGTAATTGATTCAAACTGCCAAAAAAAGGAGTAAAGTTGACTGAAAACTGTTGAATGAACATCAGGAGCAGTATAAAACAATCTGAGATGATGCCACTATATCTTATTTTTTTTTGTTGGACAAAACAATGTGATTTTTTTAAGTGGGGAAAAAATCCATTGAGAATATCCTAGTGGTAGTTTTACTTGTTCATTTCACTGCATCCTATAGTATTAAACTATAATCCCCCCTCAATGGATTTTCCTTCATCTCCCAGATATTTGTAGAGGTGTTTATTGTAGCTGATGCTTGTTTGCTTTTCAGATCATGCTTAACATGTACAGAGAGGAACAAGGTGTAGAGGAACTTCTGGCAGCTGATAAGCTTCAGTCGTTAATTATAGCAACTGCTTCCCTCTGGGACCAGTGTAGCTGCTCATGGAAAGTACCTACAGGCCGTGTGCTGAGAACAATTTCAAAGGCTCAGACCAAAAACAGCATTGTGTACTTACAAGGTTTGGTTTAGTAATTTGCTTTCTCCTTTCTTCATAGCTCCACTAAGAATGAATTCTCAAGAAGAGTCTCCTTGGTGTAGATTTTTATCTCTACGTCATCTGATAGTCAATCAACTGCAAAGCACGGGCTCTTGGCTTTCTAGACAGGAGCTGTATTTAGTACTGATAGCCATCTGGAAACTGATTTTTTTCTGTACAAAAAGTAAAGTTACAGGCAAGAGCCAATCCCACCTGATCACACTAATGTAGGCAAGGACAAGGTGTATTATGTTGGTTTTGGTTTTTTGTGTGACTCAATATGTGAGCCTAAGGCTCATGTATGCTCTGAATATGAGGTTGAGGGCACTTCCAGAGGAACAGTATCTTTTGGGACAACATCATGATTGGTTGAGTTACATACTCATTTCTTCCTAGGCTTTATTAGAGTAAAAATTTTTTTGTTAAGAAGTGCAAAGGCCATGAGTCTCAATTTCTTAGAAGGAAGAAAAAAAAAAGTTTTATAATCCACACTTCACTGTCAATATTCCTTGTCATGGAGTAACTGCATATATGTATTTTTATTTTTTAAAATAAATTGGCTTCCTGGGTGAGATTGAAAGACTGAGGAGAAATAGTTCTAGGGGTGCTGAACTGTTTATATCTTTCGAAGCTGTCCTGGAAGGACTGGCCATCAGATTAGACAAGAAAACTAGGCTTCATTGCTTAGAGCAAGGTGTGTATACCCCATTACTTATGCCTCATTGAGCAAAGAATTAATCTGTGAACTCTGCACAGAATGTCTGATTGACTTAGTACAAGACAATTAAATATGTCAGCCTCTGCTTACCTTGTACTCAGACAGCTGGATTCACTGTACATGAATTTTGGTGAATGGGTGGATTGGAAGTTTATACTCCTGAGACTGAATCAGCTTCTGGGGGTGAAGCAAAGAAATGCATGCATAGTTGAACAACCAGAAATGTTCTTCATGTAGCCTCTGAGATGAGTGTGATATTCGTATTTCCTCTTATCTTTTTTTTTTTTTCTAGAAAGAGTTAACTGACTCTCATTTTACTAGGAAATACATTTTCAAACTTGTTCCATTTTTGTTAGTAACTTTGAACTTGTTTGATAGTCAGTTCTTAAATATTTGCTTTTTGGTTTTTTTCCCACAGCTGTGGACTGCATTAAAATAGCTATTCAGAATCTTTTTAAACTGGCTGATACCTTACCTGCTTGTGATGTGTGTGAAGCTGCTAGTATTGTCTTGTGCTTTGTGAAAGATTCCTATCCCATATCATCAGCTTTGTTAACAGAGTTTGAAAATAATGATGGCTACCAACTCCTGCTAAAAATTTTACTCAGGTAAGTAAAGAGGTTTTTAGTGGGCTTCTAAAGGATGGTAAAACTTCATTTTCAGAACTCATGGTCATCTGTTTTAAATTATGAATGATGTAGGTATTCCTCTGTGAATGCAAAACCAGTAATAAAGACCCCCTGGTACTGGGTCTTCTGTTCCTGTTTTAGGAAGGGAAGCAATACATAACTTCTACTGAAACCATAATGGAAATTAACGGTAGGAGAAGTTAGTCTACAGATGGGATAGGGACTTAACCAAACACAAGACAAAGGTTCTTCATCAATTAGTATTAGAGGGGATGTTGGTCAGAGAGATTTGTCTCAGTTAAGGTAAACTCTTGATCCAAGAATGCAGTCAGCTGGAGAGGGAAAGCTGATCTCCTTGCTGTGCAAAAAAACAAACAAAAAAACCCCACCCAAACTTATATCTGAAATGGTTATGTTCTTCAGAACTGAGGTGAATATGAACACATCAGGACAAATACCCACTAGTTATCCTAATTAAAAGTACAAAGTAGAATCTTTTACTCTCCTTGTCTCCTTGCATTTTCTAAGCAGGCTTTAAGATTGCTATGTCAAAACAGTATTTTGTATGACTTCCCCTGAAGCACTTAGGAGCTTTGTTCTGGTTTTCTTTAATATCATATGAAGAGAGCATTTCCAGATTTTCTCAATCTATTGTTGTTTCCATTCTGGCTTTGCCTTTTCTTATAATTCTTCTCCAACACTTGCAAGAACTTTGGTCCCTGACCAGTATGTTAGACTGAGAGGGGGTGTTTTGTAATTTGGATCTAAAGGATTGTAGTTTGAATAATGAATCCAAAGATATCTGTAGGTGAGTGTGATTTTTGGATGGCACAAAATTGGAACCTACAATTGGAAAAAAAATTGTCTTTTTCTGGTAGTGTTTTCTTTAGTTACCGTATATTGTCTAGATTTCCCTTATACATCTTGACACAGCTTGCTTATATTTCTGATTAAATTCTAGCCACATAAGGGCAGAGATACCTGATCTTTAACAGTAAGGGCTGTGACTGCCCCTGTCCTTTTTTAACTGATGTAACTAGGCTGGAGACACAGAAATAGGGTACAGATGCTCAGGGCTTCAGATTACTCTCCCTTGCCAGTCTGTACTGGTGGAAAAGGGATAGACAGCTTCTTTCCTGAATAATTTGTGTGACCAGGTTTCCTCTTCTCTGATGTTTGGAATTTATTTTTCAGGTAAAAAGAATCTTGCTGATTTGCATTCTTTCCTACCAAAAGGGATACCAGCATTTGCCCTGGCCCCTTTTTTCCTGTTTAGATTAAACCAGAATATTTTTTTTTCTTCTGAGATTTTCCTAATTTCCAGTAGCAGTCTATTGCTCTGCCACTAACCCATGCCCAGATGCTGCAATTTTTCTTAAGAATTGACCCCTTTAAGCAGTACAGAATAGGATGACATGATAAGCAGCTCTCTACCCTTTGACGGACTCTCACTTCAGTCTAAAGTATGGCAAATCTGAGGTTACAGTTCAAACTATTTCCTTTATGTAGCAGAGAGATTCCATCTTCATGTCTGATTCACAAAGCTCAGGCAATACAATAGTTTTCCTAAGGGCTGAGATTTTTCTGTTGTTTATCTCAGTTAGCAAGACCCATACCTTGCCAACCACATGCCTACCTTTTAATGTTAAGTGTCTGTTTTAATTTTTTGATCTCTCACAAAAAATAAATTTTTACTCCCCAAAACAGGCATTCTTCTGGAGAGAATTTTTTTTTTAAAGTATATGTAACTGGACTAAATTCCAACATTTATCTTCCTTTTCCTCAGAGGACTCTTATGGTGTTACTTCAGTTTATAAGTTTTGTTCTGATTCAGAATGTGCCACCATAGTGTGAAGTTAGTGTTTGTAAGATGGTTGAATAAGTCACAGAAATAAGACAAAAAGATGGTAAAATAGACTGGAGAGGAGTAGGGGGTAAAATGGGTAGCTCCTGCATGCTCAGTACCTGGTGATATATCCAAAATACTTGTATTACTAAGGCATGCACATATGACTGTTCCAAGTTTTGCTCCTAGATGTGAGGGGTTGCAGCCAAATGAAGGAGACCCCTATCTGGATGAGATCTTGGACATGCTGACTTGCCTTACTACCTGTGGAAAAACTGAACTGAAAGTTTCTGGCAATATTGTACACCCACAATTACCGCATTTTGATTTTGAACGGACACGGTCTTCTGGTACAGTATATATATATGTGGTTATGTACATGGGTCATAGAAAAATGAAGCTCTATTTATTATGTGTCTTAAGGTGGAGGAAAGAGCATGAGATGGCATTTTCTGATCTGTGTGGTTAACACTGCAGGAGCCTAAATGCTACCTACATCAAACTGAACTGACCATGTCAGCTGTAGGGTCTGATTCAAGGTTGAAAACATGCCCCCCAATCACATCCCTTGTGTCTGACTCCTACTCTCAGACATGATTTAACATTATAGTTGTGGTGCTTGTGGTCTTAAATAACACTGATGTAAAAATGATCTCACCTGGTTTTATCCCACAGGAATGACAGTGAAAAACCTCCAGCCCTTTCAGGTGTTACAGTCCATTTTCCAGAAAAGTAATGATGAGCACCTGTGCAGAAGAATCTTGGCAGCAATTGGTACCATATGGGCCTGGGACACAGTGAACTTCTTTCTTCTGGAATGGACACTACAACCTATCAATAAGTTTACTGACATAATCCATTTCAAACCACACCCAGTGCAAGTCCAGTTCTTTGGACTGGTGGAGTCCATAGTGCTAGACCTGTCCTACGTTCCCCATGAAATTTTGAAGAAGGTTCAGTATTTGATAAAGGAAAACACAGTGCCATTCTGCACCTTAACAGCTCTCCAGTGCCTTCTCAGCATGACCAAGAAGGACCTGCTATTCAGCGACATATTCCGTGACTCTGGGCTCTTAGGCCTACTGCTGGCACTTTTGAGGAAGCAAGCCAAGATCCTGAGGAAGTCAGGTACAACTTAATGCCATTTACACTGACTGTTGAAGTAGGCGGATCAATAGGAATGAATGAATGTCATTCTACAGTCAACTTATAAATTTTCTATACTGAGTAGCTAGATTTTGTCTGCAAGCCAGCTGGCCTAATCTTGTGATATACTAAGCTGGATCCTCTCTGAAATCTTAGCTGGTTATCATTCTGTTCACTAGCCTAAACAGTTCTGAGCTGTGCTTCACCAGTGTATGATGAATTATTCTGGAGTGTACCATTCAGCCCGCACGTTTAAACAGGTCTCAAGTTGGGATTCTCTAGAATGCCAGCTTGAGAGTAGAACAAGGAAGAGTTTTCCACAGTGCTTAGTTCCTCTGAAAATAACACTTAATCCTGAGGACTGATGATGGAAAGCAATTTCTTGAATTTTGGACATATATGACCCACAATTGTACCACCCATTGTCATCTGATATAGTTATCTCCTATTATGAAAACAGGAAGGTAATACTCCTGGTGTGGTAAGAGCAGGGTACAACTGACTTAGGGGACAGACCCACATAATTGAAAGTTTATAACTGCTATTGTAAAGAAAGAAAAAGGCATGATAACATTCTGTGCTGTGTAAATTGGGAAATGCCTTTACATTTCAGTGCAATAGTCATTTAGTAAAGGAGGAGGGACCCAAAGTACTAGGTATAACTTCTGATGCAGCAAGCACAATTGAAGTATTTATACATGTTTATTGCAAGAAACAGAAGGAATATTAATTACAATAGAAGTTCTGGAATGCAGATATCCATTTCCTGCAAGGACACTTAGATTTGTGTTCTTGATATCAGAGAAGCAGAGTTTTGTACAAAAGTATTTAGGTAAGGATTGTCAAGATAAATACTGATGTTCTTGAAAACTTACTTTCTGATTATGAGCTGGTGCATAGGGGCTTTCTTCTGTCTTTGCATTAATTTCACTGCTTTAGATCACTTGGTGATCTAAATTTTATAGAATGAATGATTTAATGGCTGTGTAATTTGTAAACTTAGACACAGAGATGAAGAGGGACAGGTGAGAAGACACTGTGTGAAGTGATCGGTACTTCCCTTTTCTTGTTTCCAGAAATTTAGCCTGTAAACTTCAAGACTTTCAAATCTAAAGATAACCTACCTTACTGTCTGATCCTAGAAATGTTAACGTTTGAACATGCAGGGGGTTTCTGCTCTTTACTTTTAGTTTAGGTATTTAAGTACTCCCTGTTGCTATAATATTTTACCACTTCACAGCTCATAACCTCTAATGTTCTTTTATTTGTGTGTGTTCCTATCTGGTATCACTAAACAGGTAACTCTGCATCAGTTGGGAAGTGCAAACACCACTATTACCAGTATTGCCTATAGTTATGTAGGAGATCTGGGCTGCAGAGCACAGGGAAGCCTGTGTTTCCCATTCCCAAACTAGACCTTGATGACTAGACAATGCCCTGTCTCTATATTATTGCTCATTTTAGGGTTCAAGTAGCCTGTAAGTAATACTTCAGAGAAAACTAGAATTTGCTGGAGAATTGGTTTTCCTTTTTGGTTTTAGCTACAGTTAACCATGTCTTGTATAAATTGTATTGACTTTTAATACACTGACAGCTGGAACCCATCTGCCTAGTCTGGAAGAAGGCACTGAGAAAGAATTAAATGCTGTGATGCTGAAGATGGTGGCTGCTCTTACGGTGGGGTCTGTGAGAAACACTGGTAAGACATGGCATAGGACTGCATTATCTTTGTGATATTTGGTGGTAAGTAGCCAAGATGCTTCTTAAGGAGCACCAACAAAGTTTCCTACTTCTGTGCTTTAGTGAGAAGTGGAGGACAAAAGCCAGAAGTGTAGGGATAGCATTATTACACCAGGAAGAAATGTGGCAAAAATATTCTCATCCTGTATAATGAACCTTATCCCTATAGTCACCCTGCTTCCCACATCCATGAGGATACTCCTGAAATGTTTACATAGAAAACACAAACTTACCTTGTGGTAAACACAAGTACGTGAATTTTGTGTATTGTTTGCTCATCCAGATTTTTTTTCATGGTATCTATTATTTGAAATCTTGATGGAACCACATGCGTGCTGAGTAACACTCATACATTTAGTATTGGCATACCTAAGAGGTGTATGTGTGGGGAATCTTGTGGAACATAGTAATACAGAAGTGAACTCTTCTGAATATTGGAATCCACTTAAATCACTCTTGAATCCTAGAAACATCATGTTTGCAGCATCTTACACAGTGAAAATATATTGTCACAGCATATCAGTCCCCTTCATAAACTAAAGAGATGTTTAAGCTGAAAACTAACGAGATGTCTTTTCATTATTGTATTGGGAAGCTGTCATCTCTGATGATTAGAAACCATGGTCATCCAGTCATTTTATCCCTAGTTGTTCTTGTGCCATTCAATTTGTGTCATCTTTAGCTTAACCAGCTCTTCTTGCCTTTCCTGCTGTATTTGTAAAAATATTGCACTTCACACCAACACTGAAAATCTGCCTGTGAAAACTACAATTAAGGATAGTTTAAGTAAAAAATGATACCATGTTTGTCCGCAGTTGTTCTGAAGGACTATGGAATGGTGCCATATATCAAGATATTTTTGGATGATGAGTGCTACAGGAGTGCTACTCTCAGCATCTTGGAGCAGCTGTCAGTCATCAGCTATGAAGAATATATGAGCATTATTATTGGGGCCCTCTGCTCTTCTACTCAAGGGGAACTACATCTGAAACTAGATCTCCTGAAGGTAATTAATGTGGCTTCACACTTGGTGGTTGTCTTCTTGGAATATGCTTGACTTGTGGCAAATTGCTCTTAATCTGCCCCCTAGCATTGTGTTTTTTCCAAGAAGGTAAGTGTGGAAGAAAAAAGAGCCATGGGCCAGTTTTGGATTGGTAAATGAGGTGCTTTGAGTTTTAGTGATATGTGTGTGTGGTTAACACCTTCACTCAGTACCAGATTGTGAAGTACTTTGAAGACTTATATAGTAATGCAGGCTGGAGAGATGGAAATGGCAAAGGGTGTAGCTGTATGAGCAGTTCTATGTAATGTGACAGAGAAAGGAAAAACAAATATGTGTGAAAATGGAGAAGATGTGGAGGGAGGGATGTGAGAAGAGGTAAAGGAGTAAGATTGGAAGGGGCAGGGTAGGCATGAGATGAACAGTTTGATTCTGTTAAGTTTCCAAGGTTGAAACTTTGCTGTCCTTAATTTTGTCATCTCTGATGTACACCAGTGATGTGGAAAAAAAAATGTGAGATGATGGAAAGGAGGAACCTTATGAATGTTTGGAGGAAGAAATTAGAACTATTCATAGCCTCCATTGTGTTTATAGAGGGTCTGATCCATAAGCAATGAAGCAGGGGAAAGAATCAATGTGCTTTATTTTGGTTTACATCATAGGCATTAAATTGAAAAGCAGCAGTGTTGTAAACACTGATTTAATTTTCCTTCTACTTTCTCTACCAAGTGTGAACTGAGTTCACCTTTCAGCACAATATAGCAGCTGCTTCTGTCATAAAAGAACTATGTTACTTTAAGAAAAAAAAAAGTGACAAAGTTTATAGCTTTGATTTGAAACAGTAAACTTCAACAATATTTGTGGAAAAGTTGAGTACAGTGCCCAAACTAATATGAAAATAAATGCAGCTTCAGTGTCTAATTTTGACAAATGATAACTATATTAAAGCATAATGTAAGCAAATGAATTTATTATCTACATCCATTGGGACTGTGATTGTGTTACACACAAATTCAGATTGATTTGCTAATATATATTTAGCTGTTAAAGCCTGAGCCCAAATGCAATTAGCAGTGCCGTATTCCAGCATGGCACGTGCGCAATTATGAGGAATAACAAATAATGGAATGTGAAATAAATTCTGTTAACATTAACCGAGTTAGGGGGTTTCCAGCAGACATCAGTTTTACAGATTCAAGACAGAGGAATACTAACTCATGGGCGATTAAATTCTAACTGAGTTAGAGCTGGAGGAAATGTGGTTACTGTTGACCTTCTCTGAAATGTGTTAAAGCCATCCTGATAACTTCAACTCTGAGTTATTAAATTTACTCCCTGTTCAGAAGTCTCTGCCTGGTTTGATACATTATCATACAAAATTGAATGACAGTAATAGAGTTCCCCCTCCCCCTCCAGTTCTGGCAACCCTTTCTCACAGTCCTAGATCCTGTTACAGGGAGATATATTTATGTTAGAAACTTTCTCTTCAGCAGGTTGTGAAGTGAACCTCTTTCGTTGGATATCTGTTAGGAAACTTTATATGTAAAATCAGCCCTTTCCAATGTGAAAAGATACAACCTCAAATTTGAAAAGTCCCTGGTGCCGGAAAGAGCATCATATTTACAAAATGAATTGTGCAACATCCCAAAAACCTGGGATGGATTACATTCAAATACAGTAGACTGTTTCCTTGTAAGTTCTTTTTTCTCACGAATTTTACTTGCACCGCTACAACTTTTAATAACTTTTCTACATTTGTTTTAAAATGGCAAGCCCATAGCATTCAAAATTTACAAGTGGTATAGATTGGGTTTTATGCATGTGTAATATTTTCAAGTTATATTCACTTATAACCTGCTTTAAGCTCAGTGAAGTTAAAGAAAATCTAATGACTTCTTTATCTTCAGATATGATGCTTTATGGCTTTTTTTCTCCAAAGTGTTGTGCAAACTTTAAAAATAACTCTGCTGAGAAAGGGAATTATTATTGCCCACTGAGGCTGACATGGGTTGCACCTGAGAGTGCATTCAAATCTTGGGGTTTTTTTTGACTCATTGGGTATATGGAGGAAGGGAGGAGGAGAAAAGTTTTGCAGTGGTGACCTCTACTTTGACCAATTTTTTTTTTCTTCAAAGAGTGAAATTTCAGTGAAAGAATTTTGATACAAACTTGGAATTTTAAAATATTCTAAAGCTTCTTTGTCCCTTGGTTTAAGTGCTGCTTTTGTCTCCTTCCTTCCCAATGTTCGTAGTCGCTCCTGAGGATACTGGAGAGTCCCAAGAGCCATTCAGCTTTCAGAACCTGCAGTGGATTCAATGGACTCCTGTCCCTTCTCTCAGACATGGAAGGTGCCTTGCAGGACCCTCCGTCTGGGCTGTGGACAGCAGTTGGACAGAATTGTATATTGGAGCTTGTTTTCTACACGCTTCAGGGGATAACAGCAGCCCTGCACCTGGACCCTGTCAACAGCAACTTCTTCCAGAGGAACGGTCTCTTTGAAAAGATGGCAGAGGATCTCGGGTTACTTGGATGCTTCTGGACACAAGGGAAATGGCAAATCCCTCTGAGACTTGAGAAGACGAGGACGTTTGCAGAATTCTTGGATGCAGCTTTCTGCTCTTCAGAACCTTTCCCAATGTGGCTAAAGAACTGCATATGGATTCTGAACTTTCTTGATCATATGGTCAAAGGAACCCTCCATCTGGAGAGCTACTTCCAGGAGAGAAAGCCAGAGATGGGAGAGGCATCAAGAGATGATCAGGAGGGACCCCAAGCTCAAGAGCATCCTGTTGCTTTCAAAAGACCAGGCAACAAATTACCTGCCCCTGCCTATAGGCTATGGGGAAACCCTGAAGAGAAGTAAGTCTTTATTTGCTATGGGAAATACAATAAGACTGATATCTGCACTTTACATGACAGTAAACTGAGGTAAGGTGTGACATAGCCTGCCTAGAACAAACAAATCAGTGCCACAATCCCAACTTCCAGGCCTCCAGACAGCAGAAAACACCTGATTTTGAAAGGTAAAAGATGTCAGACATTGGGACATAAGTGTTCAGTGGAGCAGTGGGACCCACAACCCCAAGAGTTGCAGAGTTTGTGCTGAAGGTTCTGACGCAACGTGGGAGCAGGACTGGGCTCTAAGGAAGGAGTTGCTGGGAGTTGAAGCTTGTGTATAGTTGAGTCTGCCCCGATTAATTTTGGCTTTTCTGAAATAAAAATAAAAAATCAAGATTCCAGAGTTCCTGCAAGCCTGTGGTTCCCCTGATGCAGCTTCCTCTTAGCTGTACTCCATGCTCACACTTCCTCCTGGAGAAGGCTTCAGTCTGGGGCTATGCAGCTTGAAAAGAGGAACTTGAGTGCAGTTAGAGTAGGTATCCTGTGATGCTCCATCCTGCAACATGTATTTAACATCCCCAAAGAGGGGAAAAGGTGGTCCTATGGGAACCTGTGACTGAGACACAGGAAAATCGGCATTTTAACTGGATAATAGTCTAGCCCTTTACACTGTCCGGTGGCCAACGATGCTGCAAGCTGCTGGGCTGCAGGGCAATTGACCTTTTCGTTCCCATCTGAAAAACAGCCCTCTGTGTTCCTGCTCCTGCATTAATGTTTGAAGCACCTTCTGTGACAGATGGGGTCTCTGTTTTTCCTTTTGCTCCTGGTAATTAGAGATAGCTTGCTGCAAGCTGTGTTAACTGAGGCTGATCTCTCTTTGGGAAGGAAGCCCCTCTTCGTGCCCACCAGAATGGCTGGGGCAGCTGCTGTTACCACAGACTCACTGCGCTGATGGCTCTTCAGGTTCTTTGTGGCATCTCATTTTGTCCCCAAACCCTCTTATTTGTCTTGTTTTAAATAGCAGCCAGTGCAGAGCAGATTTGGGATTCACACCGTGATACTGGTGGGGTAGATGGAGTGGAATCATGGGGCTGACTGGATAGCCCTAAGGCAGGAGTGTGAGAGATGGGATATTTGCAGGAGTGAGGAGTTGGTATGTGGAGACAGCTTTTGTGCTAAGACAAGCTAGAAAATGAGGTCCTCTTGGGAAAACCACAGAGAAGGCTGGAGATAGGGTTTATATAATATTCTTAGAGGGGAGTGAGTGTGCAGTGCTGGCAGGAAAGTTGAGGTGTAGTTTGATGCTGGTCAGGGACTCTGGATTTTCCTTCTTTGCTCTTTATTAACAGCCCTGGAGAGTGCTAAATGTGCCAGGCAGTGCTAAAAAGTAAAACATCTACTTATAACTGTGGAAATGTCTTAACAGTTTCATTATTATTTTTTTTAAGGATGACTTTCTATTATGGTCTTCTGATATTCACATTTTGTTAGCTCACATTTTACCTTTACTCCACATCATATGGATTATGAAAACACTCTCTATACCAAAGAAAAATTTCGAGATTCAGTGGTAACCATATTTCTTCAGTGTGTAATTTTTGGGAAGACTGCTGTGTTTTAGGAAAACTGGACAGACAGCTTGCCAATGTATTTTAACAATGCTAGAGATGGAAGTTTGGATTGGATTGAGAGTTTGGGAAGTCAATCCTTGAATACAGTGGCTTAGGCTAAAACTGCACTTGCTCTGGGGAGCACAGTTGCAGCAGGGAAACAGACTGAAATTTCAATCCTATTGATTCTGTGGGCCTGGATTTTCTCTTTAAAGGTGGTTAGGGTTTTTTGGGGGTAGGTGGAAGGAGAGTGTACTTTCAATGTGTACTTTTTTCTTGTTTGACGTTTGAAAACAAACCCACGTTCATATCAAGTACAGTTGTGTGTGTCCACACTGGAGCCACTGCTGCAGTAAGTATTTATACAAGATCTGATTTTGATTCATTACACAGAAAATACTGCAAATGAGCAATTTCTTTGAAAGTATCTTTCTTGAGGGTGCAGTAAGAATTATTTGTCACTGTGTGGCAGTGTGCTACACATTACTCGCTGCTCTCATGTATGTGATGAGCCTTTATGGAAGTGGTTAATGTTAAAGGAGGGTAAAAAGGCTGTTATTAGGTCCCTCGTAAAAGCTTTTTTAAAATGTTCACTCTTTTACTTGTACC